TAATTGTTTTCCAGTTATTTGGTTGAAAATTGAGATTTGAATCCTTTTCTTCCTGCTCTGCAGAGGCTCGGCCAGTTCCTCCTGATTCATCTTCCTCTGGAAGAAAAGCTACGATCTTCAGCAAAGCTTCTGTGCTGCTCCTCCTCTTCTGCTCTTCATCATCAACCACCTCCTCATCCTCCTTCTGACTCTGAGCATTCTGGGTAACATGGATTCAAAACCTTCTGGATCTTCTTCAGCTGGTTCTTTATAAAAAGGACCAAGTTTGGCTCCAGCTCCTGAAAAGGAATCCCAGATGAAGACAAATCAGACTGGATCAGAACATCAGGTCCATGTTGGACAGACTGAAGATCCTGGATCTAAAAAGAGCAGCAGGAAGTCGACTGAACAGAACTGATGTACAGACCGTAAATATGGAGTCCAGCTGTGTTTGGTGCTGCTGTGCAGACGGACCGTTGGGAACCTCTGAGCTCTGCTGGTTCACTCTGTGGAGGAACAATTTATTAAAAAAACACAACAATGCAGACGTCTTTTAAATTTAATACATTTAAATATGATAAATGTTCAATATTTTTATTTATTTGTCAACCAAGAAAATGGTATTTTAGAGAATTGTTGTTAAACTTGTTTTAAGTCAGAATACGGTTTAATTTTTCTCTTTCTGATTTTAGCTCCACAAATGTTTCTGCTTTTGGTTGACATTTTGCTCTTGTTGGTTAAAGTCTAACTGAGGATCTGACTTCAGGTCTGGGTGGGATTTCCATCCTGCTGCCTGGTTGATCCTCAGGGACAAACAACTGGGCTCAGGTTCTGGATCAGAACTTGGTCTTTGGTGGATGATGGGAGAGAAAAGAACATTTTAGGTCCACATTTGTTTTGGTTCCAACCTCCATTGGAACCTGTATCCTGGTTTTAAACAAGAGAAAACCTTTCATCCATTCACAACCAGGGCAGATTTTGTTTCATCTTTCATTCATCAATTTGATCCAAATTCCAGGTTTTGAACTCTGATCAGATTTAGTTGTTAATTAATTCATTTT